AAAATATTTGCAAAACACATATGTAATTGAAGACAAATTGAAATTATAATGGAGTAATCATAGTTCAACAGTGATAAGTCATGTTGACAGTATGTACCCTTGATATGATGATGAGAATGGCACTTTGCTTTTTAGTCTTCCTAGAAAAACCCATAAGCCCTGGTCCAACTGTGAAAAAATCCCAACTGAGGGTAATTCCATAAACTCTCTAGCCAGTACTCAAAACTGTCAAGGTCATCAAAAATAAGGAAAGTGTGAAAAACTCACAACCAAGAGGATCATAAAGGGATACGATCACTATCCTGAATGGAATCCTGGAACAGAAAAAGGATGTTACATAAAAACTAAGAAAATCTGAAGAAAGTGTGGACTTTAGTTAACAATAATGTATTAATGTTGGTTCATTAATTGTGACGAATATACCATAAGGTGTTAATAATAGGAGAAACTGGATGTGGGTATATTTCTCTTCCTTGCATTGTTATTGCACTGACTTGGACTTCCAGTACTGTATTGATTAGGAGTGGTCTGAGTAGACATCTTTTCTTTTTTTCCCAAGATTCGGAGAGAAGCTTTCTGTCTTTCATCGTTATATAAGATGTTAGCTATGGGTATTTTGTAGGTTCCGTTCATCAGGAAAAGGAAACTCCCTCTTCCTAGTTAGCTGAGCGATTTTTTTTTTTTAATCATGAATGGATGTTGAATTTTTGTCAAATGATTTTTCTGCATCAACTGATAGGATCACGTCGCTTTTCTTAGTTAATAGGATGAATTACGTTGTTCACTTTTTGAATATTTAAATCACCTTACATTGCTGGTATTAACCCCACTTGATCATGGATTAAGACTTTTTATATGTTGCTTGAGTCAATTTGTTTATATTTTGTTGAGGATTTTGTATCTATTTTCATGAGAAACATTGATCCGTAGTTTCACTTTCTTGTACTTTCTCTAGTTTTGGTATTAAAGTTAGCTTCATAAGATGAATTGGAACGTGTTGCCTCCTATTTTCTGGAAGAAACTGTAAAATAAAATAGTATTATTTCTTCTTTAAGTGTTTGGTAGCATTTGTTAGATTCAAGCAGAGAGTCCCTACATGCCTTCCGTGGGCTGTAATTTCAATGTCAGTTCAGTTTCAAAGTGCTACCCAATAGCCAGTATGAGACCAGGGTGGTGGTCTAAATGCATAGTTCAGTTCTCCAGCGCTTTCATATGCTGTTTAGGGTTGGATACTTGCATTAGTAGTTCGAGGGTAAGTGAAAGAGCTAATACAAAACTTTAGGGTATTGCTTTCTTGATCTCCCTTCTCTCTGTATGCTCCCAACTGTTTTCTGACTCTCAGAGCCCCCATCCCCTTTTCTGGTCCTCTTTATAAAAAGCTGTGGCTTTAATTTCCCTACAGTGCCATGCATTCCTGAAAGTGTGTCTGCCTCCAGAGCTAAGTGGTGAGAGGGTATAGAGAGAAAATAAAGCAATGGGCATTCTCCCCATGCTGTTGAGACCACACTTCCTCTGGTCAAAGGGAAAAATTCCTCTCCCTTTGAGTTTTAGGCCCTCATCCAGCCATTGATGCTATTGCTGCCACTGGTACCACAGGCTTGCTTAGAAGTCAGAGCCAGAGGGAATTTGTTAGAAAAGGATTTACTTTACTATCTCACAGGGCCCTCTTTTCCTATGCTTTGGATGGACTAGAAATAGAAATTTTCTCCTGGAACTCTTTCTATCAGCATCTAGTGCACAGTTCTTGGTTTCACTGAATTCAGGAGCAGTCAGGGGAAAAGAAATGAGAAACTTACTACCAGTTCCATGAGATATTACTTTCTGCTTTCCTTCCTCAATCCACCAACTGCCATTACTCTCCAAAGTCCTCAGATAGTTGCTCTATGCATTTTTTCCAAGGTGTTTAATTGAATTCAGACAGGGTAAATATTGCTTATTCAATCTTGACAGTAACCAGAACCACCTCTAAATTTTTTTTTAATAAAATTATTTTTTAACGTGGCAGCTTTTGGTTAAGATATATTCCTGAACATTTAGAATGTACTTCAAGAGCTAGGTTTTGTTTTGGGTTTTTTTTCTGTCTAATAATTCTAAGGAGAGAAAAGAATGAAACAGACAAAGTAGAAGGGATCATTTCTCAGCAAAATTATATTAAACTTCCACATGTATTAAGGACTTAGTAATGAAACATTAATAGTCTACAGCCATACCACCCTTAACCCCCCCCATCTCGTCTGAAACATTAAAAAACAAAGCAATGATAAGTTCATTCAGCTATGATTTGTAGGTGGAGAGACTCATCCAAACAAAATAATATCAAAAAATGAAGAGGGCTTCCCTGGTGGTGCAGTGGTTGAGAGTCCACCTGCCGATGCAGGGGACGCGGGTTCGTGCCCCGGTTCGGGAAGATCCCACATGCCGCGGAGCGCCTAGGCCCGTGAGCCGTGGCCATGGAGCCTGCGCGTCCAGAGCCTGTGCTCCGCAACGGGAGAGGCCACAACAGTGAGAGGCCCGCGTACCGCAAAAAAAAAAAAAGAAATGAATAACTGATTTGTGTTTAAATTCTCCAAGTGACACCAGGAGAGGAAGGTAGAGCACTCTCATCAAACATATTATCATTTGTCTTTATTGACTTTCTTCCTTTATAAATATTTAATTTTTAATTTTTTAAAAGATTTTATTTTCCTAGAGAAGTTTTAGGTTCACAGCAAAATTTAGGGGAAGGTACAGAGATTTCCCGTATATTGCCCACCCCCCCACACATGCATAGCCTCCCCCATTATCTACATCTCCTACTAAGACTTTAACTTTTGTTAAAACTGATGAACGTACATTGACACATCATCATCACCCAGAGTCCATAGCTTACCTTAGAGTTCACTTTTGGTATTGTACATTCTGTGGTTTTGGACAAATGTATAATAACATATATCCATCATCATAGTATCACACAAAGTATTTTCACTGCCCTAAAAATTCTTTCTGCTCTGCCTAGTCATCTCTCCTCCTCTGCTCCCATCTAAAACCCTGTCAACCACCGATCTTATTACTGTCTCCATAGTTTTTCCTTTTTCAAAATGTCATATAGCTGGAATCACAAAAAATGTGGACTTTTCATATTGGATTCTTTAACTTAGTAATATGCATTTAAGGTTCCTCTGTGTCTTTTGATGGTTTAATAGTTCATTTCTTTTTAGTACTGAATAATAAATACATCTTGGTTTCCTCCGTGTTTTGACAGTTATGAGTAAAGCTACTATAAATATCCATGTGCAGGTTTTTGTGTGGGTATAACTTTCAGCTCCTTTGGGTAAGTACCATGGAGCATGAGTGCTATACCATATTGTAAGAGCATGTTTAGTTTAATAAGAAATCTTCTTTTCTAGTTTGTTCATTCCATGCTTTAAATTTCCCTTTAAGAATGGGCTTCCGTGGTGGCCCAGTGGTTGAGAGTCCCCCTGCTGATGCAGGGGACACGGGTTCGTGCCCCGGTCCGTGAGCCATGGCCGCTGAGCCTGCGCGTCCGGAGCCTGTGGGAGAGGCCATGGCAACAGTGAGAGGCCCGCGTACCGCAAAAAAAAAAAAAAAAAAAAAAAAAAAGAATGCCTTTTACTGTATCGCACAACTTTTGCTAAGTTGTGTTTTTGTTTTCATTTAGTTTAAAATATTTAAAAATTTCTCTTGACATTTCTTCTTTGACCCATGTGTTATTTAGAAGGGTGTTGTTTAATCTCTGCATTTTTGGGGATCTTCCAGTTATCTGTTATTGATTTCTAGTTTAATTCCATTGTGGTCTGAGAGCAGACATTGTATGATTTGCATTCTTTTAAATTTGTTAACGTGTGTTTTATGGCCCAGAATGTGGTCTATCTTGGTGAATATTCTATGTGAGCCTGAGGAAAATGGGTATTTTGCTGTTTTTGGATGAAGTAGTCTATGGATGCCCATTATATCCAGTTGATTAGAGGCAATGTTGAGTTCAACAATGTCCTTACTAATTTTCTGCCAGCTCGTTTGTCCATTTCAAATAGAGGCATGTTGAAGTCCCCAACTACGATAGTGGAGTCATCTATTTCTCTTTGGAGTTCTATCAGTTTTTGCCTTATGTATTTTCATGCTCTGTTGTTAGGCACATACACATTAAGTTATATCTTCTTGGAGGATTCACCCCTTTATCATAATATAATTCCCTTCTTTATTTCTGATAACTTTACTTGCTTTGAAGTCAGCTCTGTCTGAAATTAATTTAGCAAATTCTACTTTTTTTGATTAGTGTTAATAGCATGGTATATTTTTCTCCATCCATCTACTTTTAATTGTTATGTGTCTATATTTAAGTGGGTTTGTTACAAACAACAGATAGTTAGGTCTTGTTTTTGATACACCCTAACAATCTCTGTCTTTTAATTGGTACTTTTTTTTAACATCTTTATTGGAATATAATTGCTTTACAATGGTGTGTTGGTTTCTGCTTTATAACAGAATTGGTACTCTTAAAAAAATAATTATTTTTGGCTGCATTGGGTCTTTGTTGCTGCATGCAGCTTTCTCTAGTTGCGGCGAGTGGGGGCTACTCTTTGTTGTGGTGCACGGGTTTCTCATCGCAGTGGCTCCTCTTGGGGAGCATGGGCTCTAGGCGTGCAGGCTTCAGTAGTTGTGGCACATGGGCTTAGTTGCTCTGCGGCATGTGGGATCTTTCTGGACCAGGGCTCGATCCTGTGTCCCCTGCATTGGCAGGTGTATTCTTAACTATTGTACCACCAGGGAAGCCGCTTAATTGGTACTTTTAAACCATTGGCATTCAAAGTGATTGGTGATGTAGTTGAATTAATATCTACAATATTTGTTACTGTTTTATATTTATTGCCCTTGTTCTTTGTTGATATGTTTGTCTTCTACTCTTTTTATGCCTTTTGGGCTTGTAACTGAACATTTATATGATTTCATTTTCTCTTCTTTCTTAGATATCAGATAAACTTCTTTTTTTCCTTTTTTTTTAGTGGCTACTCCAGAGTTTGCAATATACACTTACAGCTAATTGAAGTCCACTTTCAAGTAACACTGGACAGTCATATGGACAGGTGAGTACCTTATAATAACAAAATAATTCTAATTTCTACTTCCTATCTCTTGTATCATTGTTTTCATTCATTTTACTTGTATATAAGCATATGTGTATATCTATATTTATATATAAAATAATAAAATAGCAACAATGTATTTGATTAGGTATTCTTATGTATTATATATAATACTTAAACATATATATATGCTTGTATTATATATAAATATATAAAATGCAATAAGAATACCTAATCAGATACATTGTTGCTATTATTATTTTGAACAAACTGTTATCTGTTAGATCAAATAAGTAAAATAAAAGTTTCATTTTACTCTCACTTATTCCTTCTTCAGTTCTCTTCATTTATTCATGGATAGCTGAGTATCTGATATATATTATTTTCCTTTTCTCTGAAAAACTTCTTTTCACATTTCTTATAAGGCAGGTCTACTGACAATACATTTTCCAAACTTTTGTCTGAGAAAGTCATCATGTCTCCTTTACTTTTGAAAAATAATTCAACAGGGCACAGGTTCTACGTTGGTGATATTTTTCTCTCAACACTTCAAATATTTAACTCCATTCTCTTCTTACTTGTATGGTTTCTGAGGAGAAATTGAATGTAATTCTTATATTTGTTCCTCTACAGATAAGGTGTTTTTTTCCCCCTAGATTCTTTCAGGATTCTTTCTTTTTTTTTGATTTTCTGTAATTTTACAATGATAGGCATAGGTGTTATTTTTTGGCACTTATCCTGCTTTGTGTTCTCTGACCTTCCTGGATCTGTGGGTTGGTGTCTGGTATTAATTTGGGCAAATTCTCAGTCATTATTGTTTCAAATATTTCTTTTCTTCTTCTTCTGGTATTACCATTATGTGTATGGTACACCTTTGGTAGCTGTCCCACAAGTCCTTAGGTACTGTGTTCTTTTTTTTCAGTCTTTGTTCCCTTTGCTTTTCAGTTTTGGGAGTTTCTATTGTGAGATCCTCAAGTTCAGAGCTTCTTTTTTCTTCCATGCCTAGTCTCTAATAAGCCCATCAAAAGGCATTCTTCATTTTTGTTACAGTGTTTATCATCTCGAGCATTTTTTTTTTTTTTTTTTGGTTCTTTGGATTTCTGTCTCTCTGCTCACATTGCCCTTAGGTTCTTGCATGCTATCTGCATTATCCATTGAAACTCTTAGCATATTCATATAGTTGTTTTAAATCCCAATCACGTAATTCTAACATCCCTGCTATGTCTGGTTCTGATGCTTGCTCTGTCTCTCTAAATTGTATTTTTCCTTTTAGTATGCCTTGAAACTTTTTCTTGGTAGCTAAACATGATGTACCAGGTGAAAAGAACTAAGTAAATAGGCCTTTAGTTATGTGCTGATATGGGGGGAGGGGAACTATTATATAGTTTTATGATTAGGTCTCAGTTTTGGTCAGTCTATGCCTCTGTGAACCTTACAAGTTTCCCTCTCTCTCTCTTTCTCTCCCTCCCTCCCTCCACCCCCCTTACATGGGACAGGATGGCTAGAATGGACTGGAGTTGGGTGTTTCCCTTTTCACACATGGAAGTCTAAAGCTGACTACTGTTGGTTATTTTCCTTTACCTGAGTCAATTGGGCTCTGATTATACCCCAGCAGGTTAATTAGTTTCCCCTGAGGTCAGGCCTTGTTAAGAGAACAAAGGTGCTCTGGTCTGTTTCAAAATGGCTCCCGCTTCCTTCCCCGTCAGAAGCGTAAGGAGATTTTTCTCCAATATTTTCTATGGGAACGTGGTCAAACTCCTGAAGGTAAGCCTTACAATTTTATGGGGCACCCCTCCCCATGACTGGGTCCCCCTGGAGTTTTTAACTTTCAGACTTGTACACATTAAACTTCCAGTGATTTGTCAATTACAGTTTAGATTTTCTTACTCTGGCACTAGTTCCCCTCCCCACCCCGGTAGTTTTTTGTGAGTTTAAGCTCTAGGAAGCTCTCTATTCCACTGTCTGTCTCTCCAGTCTTGGGGGCAACAGTTTGCCTGGTGTTCTACCCTCCCTTATGAATCCGAGAAAAGTCATTGATTTCTCAGTGTTTTCAGCTTTTTAATTATTGTTAGCATGGAGTGGTGACTTCCAAGCTCCTCATATGTGGAGCCAGAAACTGGAAGTCCTCCATGTGTTTACTGATTTTTAAGATTCTTTTGATTATTTAAGTTTCTCATAATTTTGGTACATTTATGAGGAGTAAATTAATGGGAGGGTAATATGAAAAAAATAATTATATTGTAGATTTAGTAAATGGAGGAGATTTCAAGGGATAATCTGTAGCAAATAATTACTTCCAATATACAAAGATTCAAGTGAGGAAAAATGAAGGAAAATATGGGGAGGGGTGAAGAAGATGTTGATATGATAAAAGTGAGTATCAGTGGAAGGATATGAGAAAGAGGAGTTAAGAGACAAGAACAATGAGAAAGGTGTTATTATTTTATTCTGGGAACTGTGAAATTGGAGTGTTTATATAAATTTTGTACCTAAGCAAAAAATTAAAGCAAAAATAACGGGATGCATTCTCTCAAGTGCAAATATGAGAAACTAGACATCTTGATTAATGTTCTCTCATCTTCACTTACTGATATTGTTGGGAGGGCTTAAGATATACTTCTCTTTCCTTGGGCTCATTCTGTTCACAGAAAACCTGAGCTTATTAGGATTTGTTTCCTGGTTACCATCAAGAAAAATTAAATGATGTTTATTAAGTTTATTTCAGATCTTAAAAATGATAAAAATGCAATAGACTTTGCATGAATAAAATCACTTCTTCTGAAAGATGATTATCAGTCTAGTTATATTTATCATTATGTTTTTACCTAATGTTTCATTTAAGCTTCTTGTGCAAATTTATACTATTATAATCAGTTTACTTCTGCCTTAATTTTTTATGTTCAAGTTATTTTAGTGATTATTTTGCCATCACTTAACTGTAATTAATTACTATTTTTGAGTTATTATCTTAATCTTGTATAAATCTCTCTCATCCTTAATTACTTCTATTCTTCTCAAAATAACGTTGTTTGTTAGCTGTGTCCAAATCTTTGATATGTAGCATATCATAATATGTATGGCTTTTTTTTGGACCCCATCCTGAGGAATCATTTTTTTTTTATTGAAATATAGTTGATTTACAATGTTTTAGGTGTGTGCTAATGTTTAGAAAAGTGATTCATTTATATATATGTGTATCTGTGTGTGTATATATATACATATTTCTCATATATATATATATAAAAGAATATATATTTCTTTTTCAGATTATTTTCCATTATAGGTTATTACAACACATTGCATATAGTTCTGTGTGCTATACAGTATAGTGTTTACCTGTTTTATATACAGTAGTGTGTATCTGTTAATCCCCAATTCCTAATTTACCCCTCTCCCTCTTTCCTGTTTGGTAACTGCAAGTTTGTTTTCTATGTCTGTGAGTCTATTTCTATTTTGTAAATAAGTTCATTTGTATCATTTTTTTTAAGATTCCACATAGAGTTGATATTATATATTTGTCTTTGCCTGGCTTACTTAGTATGATAATCTCTAGGTCCATCATGTGTGCAAGTGGCATTATTTCATTCTTTTTTATGGTTGAGTAATATTCCATTGTGTATATGTACCACATCTTCTATGTCCATCCCTCTGTCAGTGGATATTTAGGTTGCTTCTGTATCTTTTTTTTTTAACACCTTTATTAGAGTATAATAGCTTTACAATGGTGTGTTAGTTTCTGCTTTATAACAAAGTGAATCAGCTATACATATGCATACATCCCCATATCTCCTCCCTCTTGTGTCTCCCTCCCACCCTCCCTATCCCACCCCTCTAGGTGGTCACAACGCACCGAGCTGATTTCCCTGTGCTATGTGGCTGCTTCCCACTAGCTACTATTTTACATTTGGTAGTATATATAAGTCCATGCCACTCTCTCACTTCGTCCCAGCTTACCCTTCCCCCTCCCCATGTCCTCAGTTCTGTTCTCTACATCTGCGTCTTTATTCCTGTCCTGCCCCTAGGTTCTTCAGAACCTTTTTTTTTTTTTTTTACATTCCATATATATGTGTTAGCATACAGTATTTATTTTTCTCTTTCTGACTTACTTAACTCTGTATGACAGACTCTAGGTCCATCCACCTCACTACAAATAACTCAATTTTATTTCCTTTTATGGTTGAGTAATATTCCATTGTACATACGTGCCACATCTTCTTTACCCATTCATCTGTTGATGGACACGTAGGTTGCTTTCATGTCCTGGCTATTGTAAATACAGCTGCAATGAACATTTTGGTACATGACTCTTTTTGAATTATGGTTTTCTCAGGGTATATGCCCAGTAGTGGGATTGCTGGGTCGTATGGTAGTTTTATTTTTAGTTTTTTAAGGAACCTCCATTCTGTTCTCCATAGTGGCTGTATCAGTTTACATTCCCACCAACAGTACAAGAGGGTTCCCTTTTCACCACAGCCTCTCCAGCATTTATTGTTTGCAGATTTTTTGATGATGGCCATTCTGACCGGTGTGAGGTGAAACCTCACTGTAGTTTTGACTTGCATTTCTCTAATGATTAGTGATGTTGAGCATCCTTTCATGTGTTTGTTGGCAGTCTGTATATCTTCTTTGGAGAAATGTTTATTTAGATCTTCTGCCCATTTTTGGATCAGGTTATTTGTTTTTTTGATATTGAGCTACATGAGCTGCTTGTAAATTTTGGAGATTGATCCTTTGTCTGTTGCTACATTTGCAAATATCTTCTCCCATTCTGAAGGTTGGCTTTTTGTCTTTTTTATGGTTTCCTTTGCTGTGCAAAAGCTTTTAAGGTTCATTAGGTCCCATTTGTTTATTTTTGTTATTATTTCCCTGTCTCTAGGAGGTGGGTCCAAAAGGATCTTTTGTGACTTATGTCATAGAGTATTCTGCCTATGTTTTCCTCTAAGAGTTTAGAGTGTCAGGCCTTACATTTAGGTCTTTAATCCGTTTTGAGTTTATTTTTGTGTATGGTGTTAGGGAGTGTTCTAATTTCATTCTTTTACATGTAGCTGTCCAGTTTTCCTAGCACCATTT